ACACACACACACACACACACACACACACACACACACACACACACACACATATATATATATAAAGACAACTTAAGGCCCACCAGTCCCGTCGCCCGTTGCCACCAGCCCTGCTGCCGCCACAACCTTTCCCCTCCGCCGCCGTCCTCCCTTTACCCTGACGACCCTTCTTCTCTTGTACGACCAACGACTGCTGGAGAATCCTCGATACACAAAAAAACTTGCCAATTGTCGGGCTATGTCTTCTCTAACCCTATCTCCACTACTGTCGCTTTTTGTGTCCAAACACATCTCCCTCGTTCCAACCTTCAGAGTCGGCAGGAATTTGTCTATCCAAACCTGCTTCCCACGGCCTGGGTCACGGATCTCGACCGCCCGCCTCCTTTAGGGTCGGCGGTGCATGTCTTTGAACCTTGGCCGTCGAGCGGCATGAGCCGCCCCCACCCCTGTCCTCTCCCACCACATGCATTCTCTTCGGTCGGCGGTCACTAAATTGGATCTCCTCGACGTCCCTCCTCACCCTGAAGAAGAACGAATCGCCCTTATTGCCGGAAGAGTCGGTGGCATTAGAGTGAGCCATGACGAGCCTAATGACCCTCCATCGCACAGAGATTACGACGGGGTTTCTCCAGTGGGCAATGAGCTTGGTGGTGGTGATGACGCGGCCAGAGAATTTGACCGACGGGCGCGACAGCTGCTCGATGATTGTGTAAAAACTAAGTAGTAGAAAAGGGAACTAACAATTAGTTATATATTTAAGTTAGATTGATGTGGGATTGACATTGAGTTTTTCAGTTTGATTAATAGATCTCGAGGGCCAATTTGCCGAACACAGATTTGACGGGAGGGGGCAACGTCAAAATTGAGCTAGATAAGGTCTTCCACAGCGTCCGATGGCACCACCTTCATCTTCTCCAAAGTGGCGACAGTCACAAACTCCGAGGAGAACGACGTCGTTATTTTGACAAAGAGAGTGGACGGTAGTGGTGTCAAATTAAACGAGTCTGGCTCGACTCGACTTGACCTTGGCTTGTTAAGAATCGAGTTCGGCTCGTGTTCGAAGCCTTAGCGGGTCGAGCTCGAGCTCATTTATAACTCGTTTGTTTAACGAGTCGAGATTGGCTCGGCTCGATAAGGCTCGAAAAGTAAAATTTTATATAATTTTCTATTGTTCGACTCGTTAAAGCTCGAGTCGGCTCGAGCTTGAGGCCTTATGCGCTGAGCTTGATAGCTTAACGAGCGGAGCTCGAACATGTTTTCTGGCTCGTTTATTTAACGAGCCGAGCTCGGATCGGCTCGTTAAGGGCTAGAGATCGGCTCGGCTCGTTTACAGGCCTATGGACGGAGATAGGGGTAGACTTGGGAAATTTTTTTTTAAATAATCAGATAACAATATATTTAGTATTTTAATATTTTTAATTAGAATTTTATTTTAGATTCGGCATATAAAAATAAAATATATAAATATATATATATATATATATATATTAAAATAAAAAATATTTATTATGTAGCTCGGTCAATTATTTCGTTATAACTAATATTTTAAGAGTAAAAACCGACAACCGAACAGACATATAAAAAACGAAAAAAAAAATATTTCTCTCTGTTTCGGTTGATTTTTTCGTTATTGGTCAAACTTTTCACACTTCTAACAACGATACATAATTCACAATAATGACAAATGAAATGCACATAATTCTTGTGAAAATTTACAATAGCGTATGAATTTCTGTAATTATGGATAATTTTGATTTTTCATGCGGGGTATTTTAGTCATTGTGCATAATACACTGTTGTGCTAATGTGTATTCTCATAGGCACTAATGTGCATTTAGTTTAACATTATTGTGCATTATGTAGTGCGAGTATTTTTAATGTGCATATCCAAAGGTGATTTGTGTATTTTACTTCTCATGATTGTGTATTTATTAAACTTTTGATAAATTATAATTTGACATGTGACTAAATAACAATTTAGCTAAAAATTTATGAATTTACAAATAAGTCCCTATGCATTATCTAATTTTTAAAATGAAGGCCTCCACCACCACAACCATCTCCCAGATGCTTGCAACTCTCTCTGCAAGTTCACCGCCGTCATGTGCCTCTCCCGGAGCTCCACCGCCACCTCCACCAGCTCGCCCCTCCCCTGCCACCATTCACGATAAAGTGCTTCCACCACACTATCTCCCAGTACTCGATGCCGATTTTCTCCTATAGGTCATTGAACTGGGCCATCGAGTCATGGCGCCTCATCTGAAGGTCGTCGGCGATGGAGGTGAAGGACCGATTGAAGGGAGCTGCTTAGACTGCATCTAGGGAGGTGGCGATGGGTAGCATTGGACCAGTCAAGGGACTCAAGGTGGGATCTTATGACTTTCGTCTTTCGCAGAGCGACGATTACGTCGGAGTCCATTCCTGACCAAAGTCCCTGACACGGTGAAGGTGTGGAGGGTTTGGAGTCGTTGCAGGAGGAGAAAAGGCGGTTGTGGATGATCTCCAGGCAGCGGAGCTCGTCTTTGACGATCTCCACCTAGTCAAAGAATCCGTCAAGGCTGTTAGATGGTTATTTTGTCAGCGGCGACGAGGCAGGGGTAGCGGGTAGAGGCAGCTGGGGCAGGGATAAGAGTGAGATTTGAGGGAGGGATATGTGAAGAATGTGATGTCTGTGACAGAAGTAATGGTACTGTGTGTGAGAGAGAATACAATGAGGAGGGGAGGAGGATGGGGCCCACGTGTATGTGTGTGGTAGAAAATTAACAAATATACTGTTTGTTAATGTATAATCTTGATTCATTTTTGTCGTTGGATCATACAATATGATGTTTATAATGTATTTTTATTTCTTTCACTGATAACCTTCTCACCCGAACCATAACTTCCAATACATGAACATGAAGTGTTACTACTAAAAAAAAAAAAGAAGTATCGTTGTTAATTTGGATACCTCCTATTGCTAAACTCATAAAATGTTACTATATCTACCATTTGATTTCCAACATGTATGAAATTCCTACAATAATTATTCTTGTAATACGGTATCTCTATTTTGATCATCACCGTAATTTTTGGCACATTTACATGCGTTTCCGCCCATTTGAGTGAACCACCTCCAAAATTGAACGTGCCTTTTAATTTCACTTATTATCTTCACCTCTCTCTCTCTCTATGTTTCTCACTCCCTATTTTTCACGATACACATGTCTGTGTGACCTTGGATCGAGCAGTTTGATCAAAATGATTTTTGCTCTTCACGTTAATGGTTGGGTTTTGATTGGATTAGATCTTTTTACTTTTTCATCCTTTGTTGTCATCTTTGTTGCCGTAAGGAGATAAGTCACAAGTTAGTTTCTTTTGAGTTTTTCAATTGACAAATATTTGTATTTGAATATATATTAATGCCCATTTTTTTATTATTTTTTTAACATCTTAAGATTATACCAGCGTAAGTGCCGCCGGACACAATGGCAAAGAATCGGAGGGATGTCGTACCCCGACGGGAATTGAGTTCGATGAGAATTAGCTGCGATGGGGATTCTTGACGACACAAATCCTCATGACCACCACCATCTCTGTCGCCGCTATGTTGTACGCTTCAATTCAATGATCTGCGAAAAAAATCAGGCTTACTATTTTTCTTCTATCTTCACTGCTTGATATGTCAGGTAATTGCTTAGCATTAACCTAATTGATTAGAGTTAGCATGTGTCTATGTTTATTTTGGAAAAAAAATTCCATAAAGTTTTGACATATTTTTTTTTTTTTTGTGATTTGCAATTGAATTTTGAAGGTGATAAATCAATAACTGTGAAGACGAGATTAAAAATGGATACAATTCATGGTTGGTGCAACTATTCTAAAGACTTGTTGTGAGTTGCTTTTGATTTGTGGGTAAAAAAAATTGAAGATGAAAGAAGATGCAAGAAATTATATTTGTTGTCAGCGACTACGGGACAAGGTGTATATGAACTCTCCATTTAAGCAGCCGTTAGGTGCTTCACGTGTTGTAAGTATCCTTTTCAAATTTTATTCATTAGGAATTGTTTTTTATGTTGAGTGATTTTCTAACCTTTGTTAGCTTGGATGTTCTGAATGTGAGGTATATGTGTTTGTGCACGTGTGCCTCGGGTGATTCCTTCTGCGGAAGAGAGCTTCACAACCGGGGTCAGGCTGAGGCTTTCTTTTTGTGACATACAACCTGGGGATATTGCCGACGAAACGTGGTTGCCGGTCTTCACCACCACCGAGCCGAGACTCACAGAGGGTGCCGGAAAGAAAGACTCGCAGGGAGACTTCGTGTCTCTTCGTTTTCCGGGCTGATTTTGGCCATTGAAAGGGGGATTCAACTATTTCGTCCATTATCTTTATCCCAGCATTTGTTATTATTTAATTTCCCTTTTATTCAGCTGCTATTGACTGAAAATCTCTTTGTGGTTGATTTACGCTCTAATCGGATGCGTAAAGGGAGCATTCGATTCAGCCCGGGGTTGTTCGAGAGTTGTCTGAGAGGCACATGTGACAGGAAGCGCCTTGTACAGAACTTGACGGGCTGATGAGCCTGGAAGAGAGCTTCCGCTGGTAATCTTCATCTTTGCCATTTTAGCTACTGTAATTTCTTTAACACATAAGAATTTGGAAATATAATTGTGAATTCACACTCACATATACACGCACTAATGTTAATAACACATCGTTCATGCGCATTACATGAAAAGTAGCTAAAACTCAAAATTTTAACACCATTTCATTGCATCATAACTGATGATTAACAATTTTCATATTATGAATTTCTTATGCCATCTGTTGAATGTCATGCCGCAGAAAATAACTGTCGTGATTGGATGTCAGGTTCTTTGTCCATGTTTGAGCGTTGTTTATCAGATTACAGTGAACTGTCATTTTATTAGTTATTTATTTATAAATTTTACTTGCGCTAGGATGAAGTTGATGACATTAATTAGTCCTACTGGTTTTGGGATTATTTTTCATTGTTACTTTTTCATCTTTTTTTCTTCTTCTGGGTTTTAAAGGTACGTCTTTTTTTTGTGTTATTATTATTTTCACATGTTTTATTATTTCTTCAGTGTGTGTGTTCTTTTTAATCTCTGTTTGGAGTAAAATAAAGAAAGAAAGAAAAGCTATAGATGTGTGAGGATGTGTGTGTTTAATGTTCACTGCTGGGACGGACAAAGTGTGTAGTCGACGGATGGATGATGGGAGGTGTAGATTTACTGTGCGGTGGGATAAAAGAAATATGTGATTTTAATTATTAAATACAGTTTGGTGGGTGTGGGGGATGGAGATTGATTAGTAAAAGATGTCATGTTTGGTCTTCAGTGTTTGTATGCTGTATCAAAACCGATGAAAGATACAAATGTTGTTTGCTCTTTGGGGAAAGAAACTCCATAAATAATAAATAAACAAATAAATATTGGTGGTTGGTTTCTTGAGTTCTTTGAGTTGGGCTTTATTTATTTATTTTTTAAGCTGTGATTGAACTCTTGTGTTACAATTCAATTGCAAATTGAGTTTTTTAAAGACGTACATTAATTTATTGAACAAGTACCACCTAACTTGCAAGCCTACCATGACCTCACAATAACTACTATGTAGAAGTCCCTAAATTAGGGTTTTGGCTCTATGTAGAGCTCCCAGTTCCTCGAGTAGAATAACTCTATATCTTCGTATCTCCCCTCGTTTCTCTTTTTGGTGTTCTGGGTGGTTTTGGGTCTAGGTTTTAGGATCTCTTTGCTGCCATTAATTTTCTTTTGTTGTTCTTTTGTATTTATGTTTTGTGTGTATTAATTTGTGCTTGTCTGTTTTGTGTTTTTCAAGTATTTTTTTGTTCAGTGGGCTCGGGGAGTGTTTCAGGGACTAATTGAAGGCAGTTGGATCTACTATGGCGGACGAGGTTGTTGATAAATTGCAGAGATTGTTCTCACTGCTAAAGAAGTTAGAGGGGTAACTTTATCAGAAAATGATATTGCGGTGAGAAGAAAGTAAATTTCAGTGGTTTTAAGGCCACATTAAGCGGAATTTAGACTACCAATGCTCCGTGATCTGTAAGAATTCATCTTCAAAACTAAGAAGATACGGATAAGATCCTGCAAGGGAAGATTTGAAACTTCGACGGGCAGTATCTCCTTCTAAAACAATGGGATCCCCGCAGGACAGAGTTCACAGAAGATGAGGAAAAAGTCAAGTTATGGATCCAAATCTCAAACTTTCCACTGCATTGGATCTCTGCAGAGGTGGGGCTATGATAGGTAAGACGATTAGGAAAGTTTATGGCGCGTCAATACCAGGCTCAGGAAACAGTACTGGTAGAATTGATCAAAGTGTTAGTAGAACGGAATCTGAAGGAGCCTATTCTAAGAGGGATAAGCATCAAACTCGGCCAAGAAAGCAAGTGGGTAGATTTCATGTATGAAAACCTTCTGAATTTTGTTTCTACTGTGGCATAATACGACAAGGTGATAGAGGTTGTCTTATTAGAAAAGAAGACATAAGTAGTAATTTGCTTAACGTTGGATAATATGGAGACAGGCTTACGGCTTCAATCTTTAATTCTGGTGATTCTAGGGGTTCTAAACCTATCTCATTACTTTTTTTTTCTCTCTCTCTATCGCAAAATCCCCCAAATCCCTCTTTCTACCCTAGCGTTTTCTTCTCCGAGCCTGCCCCAGCGGGGCGTTGGATATTCGCGACGGCGACCTACTTTGAGCTGCGCGGCTAGGCTTTGATTAGGGCTGGTGTACTGGGTCTCTTGGGTGTGGGAAGAAGATGAAGTACCAATCGGTTTCGGTGTTGTTTCAGCTATTGTCCTGGGGTTAGTGTCATCGGACTCCTGGTTTTACATCGGGATCCGACAGTGGTTCTTTTTTGGGAGTGGTTGCGGCTCTGACCGTCGTTGGTGGTGGTCGGAGTGGAGGCTATGTCGCCTTCTCTCCTGTGCCCCTTTCCCCTGGTGTTCGGGTATGGGGTGACCAGCGTCCTCTATTCTTGGCCGTGGTGCGGGCAGGCTTTAGACGGATGTGGTGCGGAGGGAGTTGGGTGGGAGTTTCTCTGGCTTTGGGGTCGAGGTCGACCGCTTGGGTGCTGGCAGGCTCTAGGTTTGCACTTCCAATTAGGCTTGGTTTAGCTGTTTTTGGAGTGGCAGCTCAAGGCTTTGCTTTGGTCATTTGGGGTGGTTGGCTGCTGTTGTGTGACCTTTGGCGTGTGTGCCGGTTGTGGGAAGGGCGTGCTTCTAGTTTATCTTGTTTTTAATCATTTTAGTTAGTTTGCTAGTGTTTGTGTGCTTTGGTGTGTTTTGGATGTGTTTTATCTCCTTCTCTCCCGTTGTGAGTGTGTTTGGTGTATTCTCCAGTTAAGAGATTTTGGTTTCTTCTTCTTTTGGGAGTTTTTAGTTGTGTTTTGTGTTGTAAGTTGTCTCTGGGCTGCAGTCAATGCGTATGTGTATTCCTCTCTACTAGAGTCAGTTGTTCAGCTTATTCAGCTGTTGGTTGTTTATTCGGTTGAGTAGTTATTCTCCAGTATCATTTGTTTTGTGGATATAAGTACTTATTATCGTTCTATTGAAAAAAAACCTAGCTCAGGAGGAAGGAAAAATTCTGATGATAAATTCTTTAAGAATCAAAGCATTGAACATGAAAATAATGTGAGGAGGACATGAGGTAACTCTTTGGGGGCTTCCTGTAAAAGTGTCGAGGATTTAGTGATTAGAACCCATGAACCTCATAATGAAGTTAATTTCCATTCTCTTCCGGTGAAGGTTTCTAGGGAGGTTGAAGTTGAAAAACCTTTTGACTCACTACTCCTTCATCCCCTAAACAGGTAGATTGTGTAATGAGTTTATAAAAGTTAACACTGTAGCTTCTAAAAGTAAGTCTAGGTTGGTCCCAACTCAGAGAGGCTTTAAAAGAAAGCCTAGAGGACCGAAATTGTCTCAAGGGGAGGGGATGCAGAATGATAATAGGAGTCTTAGTATCCAAGAACTACTAGGGATTCAGAGTCATAAAAGAAGTGCAGAGTTGATATGTAAGGTGGTTAATGAGAGTGAGAGTATTGCCACAAGGCTAAGAGGTTTTGGGAAAGACAAAGTTGCTATGGTGGAGGAGGCCAACCCAAAATGGCCCCACCAACCTAAATGAATGTTTCAGTGTGGAAATGTAGAGGGTTGGGGGACCCTCAACAATTTCTTAAACCAAAGAGATCCTAAGATCTCACCTCCAAGACTTTCTATTCCTTTCTGAAACAAAAAAAATACAAATAAAATATAAAAATAAAAAATAAAGTAGTTTTGTTGCTTCTATTTTTGAAAAGCTTAAGGTAGACAATAGGTGGTCCAGTACAGATCTTGTGGGGCTTAGGGGTGGGCTACTTTTTTACTAGTCTAGTAAAATTAAAATCCTCTCCTTAAGCTATAATGAGTTTTGTGTGGAAGTTCATTTCAAGTTTAATGGGGAGTCTGTTGTCCAATGGTCTATTTTCCTTTATGCAAGCACTGATAACTCTCTCAGAGCTTATCAGTGGAGCTTTCTCTTAAGGCAGAGTCTTTTGTGGGGGAGTATTGGTTTTTAGGAAGTGATTTTAATATGCTGATGACATTTTATTAATTAAAGTCTTTTGCGTGTTCTTACATGTGATGGTACGTTTTTATATTTTCTATGAGAAAAAGCTACATTGTTATGCTGAAAAGATTTTCATAAACAAAAAATTAAATGAAGAGTGAAAGCTACGGATAGGCAACGCATTTAATTGTGTGGTGTTCCAACATGGAGTTATAAGGTGGCCATTGTCATAATAATTAGTTGGCGCAAATTGTTTAAAATGTTTATGTGCAGTTTCATTTTTGTATTGCTTAAAATCTTCGCCTCAAAGTAATAGAGTCAACTTCCACTGATGTTGTGATTGTCACCAAATAAAATTGCGATCTTAAATAATTAAGCATTTTATGATTTCTTCACAAAACATTGAGAGATATGATTTCCACTGTTCAATTAAATTTCGCCTCGTTCATATATATCCACGACTTTTTTTTATTCACAAAATTAATTTTTCGTTAATCATCTTGAAAAATCCGGTAAGTTCGAAATTAAGATCTGTGTTTTTCATGAAGGTTAGTTCGTATTTTTTTTCATACTTAGCCATAATGTATATGATTTCATTCTATGACTTAAACTTAATTGGACACTAAATATTATGTGGTATTATTATTGGTAATACAGTCTCATTTAATTAATTTGAATTTTGAAGTTGTTGATCATGTGTGTTGTGTGTTAAGATGAAAAAATTTGAACGTGATTTTAGAGAGAGCAGTTTCCATAAACCGCCTTCTCTCGCTCCTCTTCATTTCTATAACCGCTTTTCCCACTTCCTATCAATTGTCATATTTTAACCACCCTCACACATCTCCCACATCATTCACTTGCGTCATTCACCGTTCAAAAGGAAATTCCTAAATCCCTTTCTCCCACAATTTTGGTTTTTCAAAATTGTGTTTCTGCAACCTTTTGTTTCAACTCATCATGGCTGGAGAAAAATCTTTTAGAGAGTCGGATCTTTGACAAATCCCCGTCGCTAGGGAAAGCGGTCACAGTAGTCCATGACAACATTACCGTCATCTCATTCTCCATTAGTAGCCCCAGTGGATCCTATTGCTTCAATTCCCATCAGCTACATCCCAACACTGACGCCACCGTTTGCAGTTGTTCCTACATAGGCTCCTACACCTACACCAGTGCCTATGCAGCCGCCTATGCCACTGCCGATTGTTATTGCTACTCCTGCGACCACACCACCTCCGCCACCACCTTTTGTCAAAGCAATTTATGTATTTTTGTGTCGAAACCACCTCTTCCGATTATCTAACCTGAAGTTTCTCAATCAGCCTCTGCACAAACTAAGGGGGAGCCTTTTGGTGTTTGTACATCTGTTGGAGGTTCCAACGCATATGACGTACCGCCGTCTGGGATGCACGAAGAAGATGTTTCTCACGAGTCATGTGAAGAAGAAGAAGAAGAAGAAGACACTGCTGACAACTCCTCCTCTTACCCTCCTCCTTTTGAGCCGATTCCTGACGCGTTAGACCTTGACTTTGAGCTTGTTGTTCAGGAAAATAGTTTCATTCGTCGCTCAAGTCGCTGGAAAGAGAAAGAGAATGTGTCAAAAGTTGCGACTGTGAAAGAACCTAAAGATGATCCTTATGATCTTCATAATGCCTACTCTAATTTTTTCTATTCTGGGACATCTTCCAAGCGACTTTAGGTAATTTCTAAACCTAAACTCCATTCTGAGCATGCTGTAAAAAACAATAATAAAAAAAAAATGTTCATGACTTTGGGGTACTTGATCTAACTAGTGTGTTGGTTAGGAAGCCTCTATCGTCGATTTCAACCCTTTTTGTTCACAAATTTTCCATGAGTTTGATGCAAACCTGACCCCGTCTATGTTTGAACACGGTAACCCTCACTTTGATAAGGTTTTTCTTTGTAGTGTGTTGTTGATTTTTATTCTATGAATCTTATTGTATTTCGTGGTTTATACTTTTATTCCCACTTTTGATGAATTAGAAACTATCACTCGTGCTGAATATTGGTCGATTGACCAAGTGGCTGGGTTTCAACCTCACTCTTTGTTCCCTATGGCTTGTGGCCAATTTGTTGTACAAAATCGGGGCATGCAACTGGACCTCAACCACCTATAAGCATCAGCTTACGAAGTTGTTCAGCAAGGCCATCTATTGGGTGATGATTGGTAAGAAAGTCGACCTTAGTCAGGTCTTCTATGATTGTATCAAATCTTTTGTTCTTAATCTTGATCCTCATAGGACTTTAGCCTTCCCGTACTTGATTTAATGTTACCTTGAGTCTGTTGTTGTCCTCATGCAGTCACGCTTGGGTGATACTGTTGTCCATTCTCGTCGTCCTCTGGCTGTAAGTACGCGCATTGTACATGAGATTTCTTCCCCTAATGCTAAGTTACCTTGGACAGGTGTTCCTGTTCACTAGAATGAGTTCATCTTTAAACAGCTGCAAGCGGACAATCTGGCTAAGGAGGTTGTTGCACAACATACCTATTTTAAGTTGGTGCTCAAGATTTTAAGTCTCGCCGATGGATCAATCTTTTACATGTCGGTTGGCATCCAAGTCCAAAAAGGGGGATAATGATGTAGATGAGGAAGAAGATGACGAATAAGGTTTAGACCAGTTCTTAGTATGTTGCTTGAGCTGATGTTAGAACAATTTTAAATTTTGTTTGAACTTTGTTAAGTTCTAGTTGGTTTTCATTATATTTCTGCTATCTTGATTTTGTGTTCTCTTTCACTTAGGTGTTTTGTATTAGTATTGTGTAATAGCTTTGATCCTTCTTTTTTT